AATGACAATCAGAAATGTTGTTCCAAGCAGGAGGAAGTGCTCCAGAACGCTGGCTGTGAATCATGGGACAAGCCAGTTTGCCTTCCACCTGTGAAAGCTCTACACTGCGTGCCTATCACTGAAATCTAGAGCAAAAGCACTCAGCGTCTGCCTTAATGCAGTCAAACTGGAGAGAACTGTTGTGAAAGAAAATTTTTAGCAAAAGCCATTAAAGTTGGCTCTTGTGTCCAATACTGAATGGTTCCTCAAAAACCAACTGGCCAGTATGCCTAAGACCATAAATACCCATTCCAGTCAGAAACAGGGAAACACTAAGCAAGACAAACCCCATTTAGGAAAAGACACTTAATTTACTTTATAATGTGTACAAATCTCCTCTTCAGGCACCATTTGGGGGTTAAAAAATGTAAAATAACCCTGCAAAAGGATATAATTAGAACACAGTGGGTTTTATTACTGCAGCTTTCAGCATGGCTCTACTAATGCCCATTGTTTATCTCCACAAATAAAGAGCAGGCTGGGAACTGTCCTAGTTTCTTTGAGAGTTATCAGCTGAAGCTAATGTTTCCTTAGAGGGAACTCCACCAGGGGCCTGGCCAGTTTCTTTGCAGGATTTACAGCAGGCAGCCGCTGTGGGAGGGAACCTGAGTGCCCACAGGGCAAGTCTCCTAACAGTCCTCACTGGCTCCACTTACCAGCCAGATAAAGGGCAGTCTTGCCCCCATACACAGCAAGTTAAGAGGACTTCAATCATCCATGCTAATGCGCAGCACTCCAGAAGCAAAATGAGCCTGTCTTTGGTGGGAGCATCAGCTTTTTCCTGACCTGTTCACCTTCAAATGCCCGTCACACAGGGTCTTGGACCTACTTGCCTTCAGTACTCAGTCCCTTTCTTTCCCCTTCTGTATCCCACAGTCCACTGGATTATGGGTGTATGGTAGTGTTACCTATCTTTTCTTTTCTTTTTTTTTTTTTTTTTTTTTTACAGGCAGAGTTAGACAGTGAGAGAGACAAAGAGAAAGGTCTTCTTTCTGTTGGTTCACCCTCTAAATGGCCGCTACGGCCAGCGCGCTGCGCCAATCCAAAGCCAGGAGCCAGGTGCTTCTCCTGGTCTCCCATGTGGGTGCAGGGGCCCAAGCACTTGGGCCATCCTCCACTGTCCTCCCAGGCCACAGCAGAGAGCTGGACTGGAAGAGGAGCAACCTGGACAGAACCAGCGCCCCAACCGGGACTAGAACCCGGGGTGCTGGCACCGCAGGCAGAGGATTAGCCTAGTGAGCCGCGGTGCCGTCCAGTGTTACCTATCTTGACTCAAGTACTCGTTAAGATTTAGAAGAAGCCACCATTCAGAAGATGTATTGGAAAACTGTGGTATACTCCCCATATGTTGTCCCCAGATGTATCCTGGGAAACCTCTGTAACTCCCCCCTCCACCTCTCCAGACACACCTTTAAAATGGGAATAACTTGAGAAAGACAACACTTAATACAAGGCTAGCATGCTTAAACACCCAAAACATACACCATCAACAAAACAATACCTATTGCTGAGAATTCTCTCCAGCCTCAGATCTGGTATGAACAATGCTGGCCATGGTGGTGCCAAGGCAGACACCTCAAATTTGAGCAACAGAGATAGCTCTGGCAGAAGTAAAGACTGATGGACTCCACAACATAGCAACAGAAATAATGATCAGGCCAAACTAAACAGCTGAACAACTGAATTTTTGCAGTTCAGCTCCTTACTGCAATATGTTTAAGTATCTTGACTCAACAGGCAAATCCTACTGGGTCAGCTGCACAGAACATTTGTGCATAAATACATGTCTACATATGGGATGAAATATTTGCACACTAAGACTGCAGACTTATTCTGCACTTGATACCACTAGTTTGACCATGGGATGAACCCAGTTACCAAAACAACATTTATTTGTTAATAGCAATACTTTGTGACAACGATGGAAGAATATCCCAAAAAAGGCTTTTGACCACAATGCTATATACAGATAGGCCCTAACATCTATCTTCATTTTGATCATCCTTCAAAGGGTTCAAAAATTCCACAGCAACTTACTACTGCATATCAATGTCAAGAGTGCCAAATTCTCAGAGTGCCAAAATATTCATTTATAAAACACAAGTAATATCTCTCTTAAAGGACTGAGTGCATGGAAAAAAATTTAATTTAGAATAGAACACTTAAATATCAAAACTAAAATGATGAGGATTTCAAAAGAAAACACAGAATATTTTCAGTACTAGGAGGCTAGCAAAGACTTCCCAAACACAGAAAGTAATAATTATAAAAGAAAAAATTATTATATTTTGTCATATGGAAAACACTTTATTATCAAATGCTACTGTTTTTTAAAAAAGACTAAATAGGCAAGCCACCAACTGAGGGAAAAGAAAAAGGAGAATTGGTATCTAGGATGTGTAAAGAACTCCTCCAACTCAGTAACAAAATTCTCACTGCTGTTTGTTTAGAGAGGCCTGTCTGGAGGGGACAGGTCAGTGGAGGGAGAGGAGAAGCTGGCAGTCTCTCTGCAGAGAAGAACTGGGGGTTGCTGGCTGAGGAGGAGAGTGATGTGTTCAAGACTACTTGAGGAAGGGAGAAAACAAAAGCTAGACAGATGTCAGGACAGCATAAACGATTTAAAAATGTGCTGTGCCCAGTGCCAGTAAGTCTCCACTCAAAAGACATTTGGACTTAAGATGGCAATTTTGATACCCTAATAAGTTGCTTTCAGAAAGCTTCTGCCCAGATTTAATGCTGGAAGCAATGATCCTTATTTAAATTTACACAATTCTTCAGATCACAAAACATAAGGTTGTCTGGATGGAAAAATACATTTTACTTAAACTGGGTTCATATCATATCACATTTTAAATATTCTTAAAATCTAAAAATAAACTTTTTATAAAAATAAACTTTCAAGTCTTCTGCAAGAATAAGCCAAAACTGTAAGGATACATAAAACAAAATAATATAAGATGGATAGAGTTGCAATAATTAAGTTTTTCAGCCATAATCCCTGAGCTGTGACTTTATGTGAAGTATTCTTTTGGTTGTGTCTGGACATATTCTGTTGGATTCATAAAGCATAGCACATTGCCACACAAGTGCTGGCAGACTAGTGTACAATAAACAGATATTCACCGTAGTATTTCAGGACATCAAATAGTATATATCTTTTATCTCTGTTGTTTTTGAGTACTTACATTAAGAATTTTACAAGTATTGAAGGTTTTTCCAATGTAAGGCTAAATACAGGAAGGGTCAGGTCAATCTCATCTGATGGACCATCCCTGGCCTCTGCCCACAGCATCCAAGGACTGCCTCACTGCAGCCACGCAAATGTGCCCTGGCAGCTACATCACACAAGTCAGCACAAGAAGTGCCTGAACTCCAGCATTCGTTCTCAGGGCACTGTTAGAATTTTTCACTAAACAGCCAATGAGAAATGTTATCACATGTGAAACTAAAGAATTTTTTCCTCTAGTTGTTAAAAATAAACCAAAATACAATTTCAAGTACCATTAACACAACAGTAACTGAAAGAGTTTTCACCAGAATAGCTAAAATGTCAAGTAAGTGAATACCACCACCAAGAGAGAATATTAGTGAATATCAAAAGTATTTTATCTTAGGCTAAAAAAAAAAAAAAAAAGCATTATATCATATTATCGTATTTGAAAGGAGAGGCATCATAAATACCTGGGAAGAAAAACAGGAAAATAGTAATTTCTAAAATATTTATTGTATTTGAGAGGTAGAGTTACAGAGAGAGAGAGAGAGAGAGAGAGAGAGAGAGAGAGAGAGAGAGAGAAAGGTCTTCCATCTGCTGGTTCACTTCCCACATGGCCGCAATGGCCAGAGCTGAGCCAATCCGAAGCCAGGAGCTTCTTCTGGGTTTCCCACAAGGGTGCAGGGGCTCAAACACTTCGGCCATCTTCCACTGCTTTCTTTTTTAATTTTTTTTATTTATTTGACAGAGAGTTAGAGAGCTAGAGGTCTTCCTTCCATTGGTTCACTCCCCTAATGGCCGCCATGGTCGGAGCTGTGCCAATCCAAAGCCAGGAGCCAGGTGCTTCTTCCTGGTCTCCCATGCGGGTGCAGGGCCCAAGGACTTGGGCCATCTTCCAATGCCTTCCCGGGCCACAGCAGAGAGCTGGACTGGAAGAGGAGCAACCAGGTCTAGAACCTGGCGTCCATATGGGATGCCAGTGCCGCAGGCAGAGGATTAACCAAGTGACTCAAGGCGCCGGCCTAATCATCCACTGCTTTCCTAGGTCATACCAGAAAGCTGGATCAGAAGAGGAGTAGCCAGGACATAACCAACACCCATATGGGATGCCGGCACTGCAGATGGAGGCTTAGCCTCCCATGCCACAGCACCAGCCCCAAAAAGAATACATTAACACAGCTCAGTCATGAATGGCAGATCCCAGTTCTGCCACTTACAAGCTCCATGACTTTTTAGAAACCACTGGACCTTTTTACTGTAACTTCCATGAGGCTACCTATCACATTTCACAGGATAATTACAAGGATTAAATGAGATAATGGATGCAAAAGCCTTGTGCAAACTTCTGGGTACAAATTATACAGGTAATTATTATTAACACTAATGTAAAATTTTCTCAGTAAGAATTTGGAATTACCAAAAGACCACATGCTAAGAAAACAAAATTTAATCATAAAACCACACCAAATTAAAGGTTTCTGGGTTAGGAATTTCATCTTGTGGTCACACTAGCATTGTGGAAACTAGTAAAATTTTCATTTTCAACCAACAATAAGGCAGTGGGGATAAGCCAGTCTTTTCTTTTCCCAATCTAAATAATTTGAGAAAGTAATGAACAAAAGGTCAAAAACAAGCACTTGGAAAGAATCAACCATCATCAGCAGTATTCACTTAATCAAACAATGGCACGCATACACTCACAGCCATTTTCCAAGTAAACTTACAAAACCACACACTCAGTTCCTCTTACCTGAGGTTACACTATAATGACTTTCCAGGACAGGCTGCCACTACCTCAACAAGCACTTGTGTGTAGTTAAAACACGGACTTGTTCTACTCATTCCACCTTTCGCCAGCAGGCTTCCTTGTGAAGGATCCAGCAAGTTCTTATTCTGCACTGGCCCTGGCAAGTCTCCGTGTGGCAACAGGGCAATCTCTGCAGGAGAAGAGAATCCATGAAGATGGGTTAGGGATGCAGCAGGGTGTGTCCTGTCTCACCCAGCACATCATCTGGAACCTCCACATCAAGGTAAAGGGACTAACTGAGGTGACAGCAGGTAGACAGTTCCAGAGCTAAACGGGCCCTCGTGATGTAGTCTCTGTCTGATCTTCATCTGCAAAGTTGTGGTTTAACAACACACCCCACTTTGCTTGTGACAGGTAAGGTTCTCCTTGCATTTTATTTGTTGTCCTAGTCGGATGTGGGTATTGATTCACTCTCTAAGAGTGCCTTGCCACCATCCAGATATCGATTTCTGAGTGTCCATATTCCAGCCCTCTTTCAAGGACTGTCCCAGGAATTCCTCCCCCAGCAAGCATTTCCTCATAGGTTTCTCTTGAAAAATCGGCTCCACTTCTATGAATTCCTGTGGCATTCTGCTTGTACCTGCCTCATGTCCGTTCCCCTCTCCCCTTTTTTTTTTAATTTATTTGACAGAGTTAGTGAGAGAGAGACAGAGAGAAAGGTCTTCCTTCCGTTGGCTCACCCCCTAAATGGCCACCACAGCCGGAGCTACGCCAACCCGAGGCCAGGAGCCTCCGCCTGGTTCCCCATGCGGATGCAGGACCCAAGCACTTGGGCCATCCTCCACTGCCTTCCCGGGCCACAGCAGAGAGCCGGACTGGAAGAGGAGCAACTGGTGCAGAATCCGGCGCCCCGACGGGGACTAGAACCTGGGGTGCCGGCGCCGCAAGCAGAGAATTAACCAAGTGAGCCACGGCGCCAGCCCCCAGTTTCCCCTTCTATCTTGCGTTAAGGTTATCTTCTTACACATGCTAGATCTCTGCCACATTTAGGGGCCAGCGGGCTCAAGACAGACACTATTCTATGTATGCTTTTGCTGTTTTTCAAGATTGCAGTTAGGGCCAAGTTTCTCTAACGTCATCAGCTGCCGCTGGTAATATATTCACTGATAATGTATTTAATCAGAATGCTTGCTTGAGAATGTTCGCTGAACCCAAGAAAGTGTGACTCTAAGACAACTCTCTCCACACAACTCTCCCTGTATTCAATCTGAGGGTCAACAGCTACCACTCCATTTTTATGTATGAATGGCACCCAAGATGTCAAAAGCGTTCACAGAGAGTTATTTTAAACCAGAAAGTTCTTAAACTTTCTAATTATGGGACCTCCTTTAAACTTTTTGGCCTCAATTTCCCCATTCAAAAAAAGATAACAACACTGCCTACCTTACTGTGCTGTAAGCACATGTACAACAAGGCCCGACACTAGGTCTGGGAACACAGAACTTGCTCAGTCTCCATACTACTCCAAGACTTCAGACTCAAGATCTGCTACCAAGTCCTCTTTTAAGATCTGTAACTTGGGACCAGCACTGCGATGTTGTGGGTAAAGCTGCAGCCTACGGCGTGCCGGCATCCCATATGGTTAAATCGCTGCCTGCAACTCTAGTATCCCATATGGGCACTTGTTCAAGTCCCGGCTGCTCCACTTCCAATCCAGCTTCCTGCTAAGGCAGCAGAAGATGGCTCAAGTCTTTGGGGCCCCTGCACCCACGAAAGAGACCCAGAAGAGGTTCCTGTCTCCTGGCTTCAGACCAGCCCTGTCCCAGCTGCTGCAGTCATTTGGGAAGTGAACCAGCAGATGGAAGACCCCTCTCTTTCTGTCTGTCCCTCTCTGTCTCTGTAATTCTGCCTTTCAAATAAATGACTAAATCTTTAAAAAAAAATCTATCACTCAAAAATTTAAGGATCTCTTGGTTTTATTTCATGATCAAAGAAAATTTAATATTAAAATCTAAAACTAGACTTCAAGATTAAAATCCTTCAACAAATATTCCATTTAGCTATTAGATTCAGACTTAGTTCTTTTTAAAGGATCTATTTATTTGTTTGAAAGGCACGAGTTATAGAGAGAGAGGGAAAGAAAGAGATCTTTCATCTGCTGGTTCACTCCCCAAATGGCCACATGACCAAGGGCTGCGTCAAGCTGATTCCAGGAGTTTCATCTGGGTCTTCCATGTGGGTACAAAGGCGCAAGGACTTGGGCCATCTTCTGCTGCTTTTCTCAGGTGGATTAGCAGGGAGCTGTAATCAAAGTGGAGCAGCAGGGACTTGAACCACTGCCCAAATGGGATACCAGGGTTGTAGGCAGTGAATTAACCAGCTCCGTCACAGTGCCGGCTGCCAGACTTAATTTGCAAATGCACATTCTACATGCATTAAATTTACCTATAATTTTCTATTCTGCAGTGAGAGTCCTTTGAATCACAGTTACAGGGATGAATAATTCTTGGCAAACAGGTCTAAAGACAATTAATGCACTAAACCACTTTCCTTCTGGATTTCTTCAATTGAATTTTGACCAACATCTTAATTAGTCACAATGGAAAATGGATAGATAATTTGCTATATTTCACAATTTCAATCATTCACTAGAATGGACCAGAACATCATAGTAAATTAGGCAGTCATTGAGTGAAATTCAGTTGCATGACAACTTCCATTAGTGACTACCCCACTCTAGTGATAGAGAAGAATCAATGGAGGGGCTGGCAAATTGAAATTGGTGTACACTATATCCTCAATGCCAGGGGAAAGTAAGAATTTCTGAAAATACTGAAATGAAGTCAAACTAGCACACATCAGTCAAAAAAAAGAAAAAAGAAAAAAAAAAAGCACTATGTTTTAACAATGCAAGATTTTCCCAGGAGGGAAGCGCTTCAGAACAAAGTGTGAACTCCCACTAGCAATCAGGGAGACGTAAACCACACAAAACATTCACTATGTGGCTATTCACAAAAATATGAGTACCTCAAATATTACACAGAGCAAAAGAAGCCAGATGAAAGATGATACACTATTTCTTTTTTATAAAGTACAAAATCAAACAAAACAAATCTGTGGTGACCTATGTCACAACAGTGCGTACCTCTGGCAGTAGGGGGCTCAGGGGAAGGGGGTAAAATGGGAGAGGACAAGAAGAGTTTCTAGAATGTTGTAATGTTCTAATTTTGATGATTACATACATGTGTTAAGCATGGGAAAATTTTATCAAAAGTAAAAAGATCTACTGCTCTTCTATACATGCTACCTTTTTAATTTGCAAGAAAAAAAGTTAAAGTATTTCTTATATATAATTTAAAAAATACATAGGGGTGGGTGTTTGGCACAGCAGTTAAGATACCACTTCAGCCACTTGGCATCACATATCAAAGTGACTGGTGTGGGTCCTAGCTCCACTCCAGACTGCCAACCTTGGCTCAAATTGTTGAGTCCCTGCACACAAATCAGAGTTTTGGAGTAAGTTCTTAGCTCCTGGCTTCGGCGTGGTCTAGGCTGCTGCAGTCATCTGGAGAGTGAACCAGTGCAACGAAGTTCTCTTTGCCTTTCAAGTAAATAAAATGTCTTCTTATTGAATCAGAGAACAAAGTAAATCTGTGGGACAGAATTTTCTCAATTTTTTGAAGATTTATTTATTTATTTGAAAAGTAGTTACGGGGGGAGGGGGCAGAGGCAGAGAGAGAGAGTGAAAAAAAAGAGAGAGAATCTTCCATTTGCTGGTTCAATCCCCAAATGGTTACAATGGCTGAGGCAGGGCCAGTTCAAAGCCAGGAGCCAGGAGCTTCATCCAGGTCTCCCATATGAGACATCTTCCACTGCTTTCCCAGGCACATTACCGAGAAGCTGGATCAGAAGTAGAGCAGCCAGGACTGGAACCAATGCCCATATGAGATGCTAGCACTGCAGGCAATGGCTTTACCAGTTATACCACAGCACAAGCCCTGAATTTTCTCAATTTTAAGATACATTTAAGGGGCAGGTACTGTAGCATCAAGGATAAAGCTGCTGCCTGCAGCACCAGCATCCCATATGGGCGCCAGTTCAAGTCCCAGCAGCTCCACTTCCAATCCAACTCTCTGAGAAAGCAGAAGATGGCCCAAGTCCTTGGGCCCTTGCACCCACGTGACAGACCTGGAAGAAGCTCCTGGCTCCTGGCTTCAGATTGATGCAGCTCCAACCATTGCAGCCATCTGGGGAGTGAACCAGCTAATGGAAGCTCGCTTGCTCGCTCTCTCTCTCTCTCTCTGCCCCTCCCTGCCTTTCTCTAACTCTGCTTTTCAAATAAAATAAACTTTTTTAAAAAGATACATTTAAAATTATTTATTTTCATATCAAATAATAGCAGACAAGGACTCTATACACCAGTTCATTCCAAAATGCCTACAACAGCCAAGGCTGGGTCAAGCTGGAACCAGGAGTTAAGAACTCAATCGTGGTCTCTCTTGTGGGTGGCAGAGACCCAAGTACTTGAGGCAACACTGCTGTCTCCAGTGCACATTAGGAGGAAGCTGTATTGAAAGTGGAGGAGCCAGGACACAAACGCAGCCCCTAGAATACAGGACGTGGGCATCCGAAGCAATGACTTAACTGCTGCACCAAATGCCCTTCCCCAAGATTTTTCTACCATGTATTTTCCTTCAACCTTCTGGCACCTGTCACCTGTATCAGCAAAGCACACACAGCAGAACAAACAGCAGCAGCAAGAAACGACCCACACATACACACACCAAAAAAATATGCTTAGCCAATGCATTTCCTCCAGTCCACCTCCACACCTGAAACAGCAGTTCTGATCTTGTATCACAGATATATAGATATAATCTATGATCATGTCTGCTAGTAAAATAATTTTTAGTACCTAAGAGAATTAAATACAAAGATACTTAAAAGTTTGTGGAAAATGAAACTAAAAGATAAGATTATTTTGGTACAAGATTTTTTGAAATGCATGCACAGTTTTTCCTAACACATATTTTCCATGAACTTTTGATGGCCCCTCCATAGATAAGTTCATAGGTTTCTGTTAAAATCATCATGATTTCAATGTGCTCTGTTATCTGAACAAAAGTAAGTACCTAGAGACTTGCCTATCCCCAGCAGGGTAGCCTGTGACTAACACTCAGTCCTGGGGAC